CCCCTTCTTCCTGCGGCTGCACCTCCTTCTCCTTCCTTAGCTTTTAGCTCTCCAAGCTGCTCCTGGTGTAGAATGATGGAAATGACTTCATTTCCCACGTTCAAGAGCCTCTCCAATATCAGATTGCACTTCCCTTTTGCCTCCCTTCTCCAAGCTCCAAGCTCTCCAAAATCTGCTCTCCTCTGTGTAATCCCTCAATGACTTCCTTCCCCACGTTCAAAAGGCTCCCCAACTTCAGATTGCAATTCCCTTTTGCTTCCCTCTCTCCTCCTTTCCAGCTTTTACTTTTAGTATTCTAATGCAAAGTCTTCACCCATTGTCTTCTTGTCCCCTTGCAAATGATGAAGCCTTGTCCTCACAAAGATGCCAAATGCTTCAGAAAATATCTCATCTGCTAAGGTAAATTCTTGTTACCAAGTGTTATGGTAACAAGAATAATCAAGATGACACAATGGAGGTGAAAGCTGGCCAAAATCGGATTTCCAGAGCTGTGGTGACATGCTGGATTGGTTGGATAGGCAATACTTGTCCAATGGAGCTCAAATTTGGATATGTTGTAGTTAACATCCATTGGAACAAGTCTCATGAAGATCATGACCTCATCCGAGCACCAGAGCATGCTAATCCCAGGCCAAGAAGTTGACCTACGAAAATGAACAAAAACAAAGTTTATAACCAATAATGCACTTTTAGCTCATTTTCATTCCAACCAAGGTAAAATCTAAGAAAACACAAAAAGGAAGTAAAAAGCTATAAAATGTCAAGAACTAACTCAAAATAGTGGGTGAATAACATGAAAAATCATGTGTAAAAATGAACCGAACAGCCCCCAAAATAGTACTCAATATTTGGCGGCCATATGTTATAATACGCTATGTCCTTGTTGACCCGAAAATATTGATTGATATTAGTTTCATGTTCACGATTGATAAGTATTTCACTGTTTATTTTCTAAGTGCTTTTGAAGTGTCTACCCAATCATCCTTACTAAAAGGACCAAGTTTGTAATGGAAAAGAAAAAAAGAGAACAATAAATTCAGAAAAAGAGAGCAATATGAAGCTGACAATTCATTTCTAACACAGAACATTTTATTTCTTAAACATTAAACACGAGTCACGCCCTTCTATTTGGAGTCATCGATTGAGAGAACGGGAGGTTTCTTTCGCCATAGTCTTATTACCACTCTCTTCTGGCTGGAGTTTTGATTGGGGAAGTGTCCACCATCATAATCGTAACCCTAATATCTTTTGTACTCTGGTTAATCTCTTTCAAAGACATCATGACTTTAGCCATATCATTGTCTTGATCTGTGATGATTGAGGATTCGTTTGGGAGTGCTTTTGGAATAGTTAAAAGCGCTATCTGACAACCAAAAGCACTTCTGACAGCATTTGGCAGAAAAGTTTAGAAACGCTTTTGGGTCATAGAAGCGCTTTTTGGAAAAGCATCGACCATGTACTTCTTCAGGTTCCCAAGAGCTTTTCCAAGAAGCACTTCGATTTCTTATAAAAATTTTAATGTCTTTATAATAAAAACGCTTTTAGTAGAAGCGCTTATAAGTAGAAGTGCTTCCTAGAGAAGCAGTCTCAAACGAGCCCTGAAAATCATTAAAAAGTCTCCACTTCTCGCCATGTTGTGTTGTGTAATTGCCCAACAAGGGTCAAGAAGAAAAGGTTTGCCTTCAATCTGATTATATTTTGCATCCTTTATGTTGAATAAATTTTTTAATTAGTTCACAATAAATTATTATAGTAAAATATCAAGTAATTAGATGAGATTTAATTTTATAAATAAAAAAAACACTCACCTTGTCGAATTCACTTGACCCACTCATGAGTCTGTTTGCCTGAGCGTCTCACCCTCAGTTTATTTTCTTGAAATAACTATTTTAATGAAGAACAACCTAATAGCATCTCCAACAGTATTAGCAAATAAAACCTTTTAAATTGAAGTTTGTTGATATACGTGGCAATTTAAAAAGCCTTATTTGCTACTGGAATAATTTTTGCGCCAACAGACTCTTCAAATCAATTAATGCAATATCATGAAAAAGAATGAAAAATATGAAAACATGTGAAAAATGTCTATGTATTTATTATATGAAGAGAAAAAATGCATGTTTTTAACATTTTCAAAAGAGGTTTTGTTTTTCCAAAGTAAAATTAAATATTTGAAGAGAGAGACTGAGATTGAAGAGGTTGTTGGAGAGAGTTTTTCTGAGGTGGCTCACATATTTTAAAATTCCAAAGTTATTGAAGAGATTGTTAGAGATGCTCTAATAATACATCCTTATAAAGTAACTAAGGGAAACTCCTAACATTTTTATAAAAAAATACATTAGAAAATATTTTTTCTAAATTGCCATTGCATATCCAATCCAAACTGACATGAAAAAAAACACATTTGATTTTTCTAAAATACTTTTTTCTAGTCGATAACTTCCATGTTAGTTTGCGTGGACATTAATTTGTCTAAAAGTGTACAATAGACACCTATTTTGCAGAGCATTTGATATGTCATCGCTAAATCTAAAAACACCACATGTCATAAAAGTATTGGAGCTTAGGGATATACAAATTTAATTATTTTTTCTACATTGACGTGTCATATCCAATCAATTAATGACAGCTAGTTTTAGTTTTGCGTTGTACTTAACAATTTTAACTCATGAGTGATCATCCTCTGGGCCTTAGGGTGATTTATGGACTCCCTTCCCTCCTCTCTTCACGCATGAATACAGAAAGATATTTTAATTCTAGAATAAGAGTTCCTTCTAACTCATGCAATTAAAGCATGAACAAGCAAAGAGAGTTTGCTTCCTAAATTCCAAAAAATACATGGGCAAAAGAGACTACTTATAGCCAACGAAAAGTGACTAACCTTACTAAACTATAGAAGAAGATTGAAGTAAGGGAGGTTAAGGGAGAGACTAATATCACTGTTCCTTCCATATCCTTCCAGTCACCCTAAGTTTCAACTCCTTTCGGTCTCCCCCCGAGAAGAAGAGAGCCATGTTGCGTTGAATGATGAGACCATCGAAACTGTCACGAACCTTCCGGTGACTATCCCTAATGCTACGCGGCACCCCTTGCCAAATCATCTTCCTCGCATTTCCACCCACTTCTAGACTGTAGCTGTAGTTCTTTGCCTCGTTATCATCCCCCATGAACCGCAAGAATGCTACGTAGACAGGAGCCATCCCAAGCTGGAAAGCTTCAAAATGTAGACAAAAATACTGGCCAAAGCAACTGAAAACCTGCACATTAGAAAAGATACAGATCTTTACCCTTGTTCTTTTCAACGTAGGTGTAACTCATCAAAGCTTTTACACCAGGATCCATGTCTGGAATGCGCACAAAGGGAGACAGAATAACAATATTACAAGGTTCTGAGTTGGCTGAGAAATTAATTGTACAAGGGGGGGCCAAGAAGGATAAAGGAAATTAGCAAGACAAGGACAGTGAAATAATACCGTTAGCATCCAGGTAGCATTTTCAACTTCATGGGGATTTGATTTTACATAGCGATGGTTGAAAGTGCTGCCATTGTGCATGTCAACTTTGTGATCATCTTTCAAATGGGCCACCAGATAAGGAATATCTCCAATAACAGTGCATTCTGAACCAGCATAGGGGCAGTTATAGGGTCTATGTAGACATTGAGATTCATGTTTTAGCTTGCTGTAATAAGGGTATATGCCCGTGCAACCAAAACTCTCATATTTACATGGAAGTTCCAGAGAAGCAGCCACCTGCTCCAATGCAAGACATCTTATATTACCAAGATCATGCCTGCAAGTGGGACACCGGTTGTGAACCTTGGGTTTGCAACCAGAACATAACGTGTGACCATTTGAACACTGCACAAAGGGAGAATGCAAATCAGGATAAAAACCTAGCATCTAATTTGGAACATTGAAATTCTTATTACATATGTTAGGCCCTGTGTGTGCGTGCGCATGCATGCACAATTTATCAGAATGGATTCAGAAAGTGCCTCACACACTGATATAGCACATTTTCAACAAAATTATTAGGATAATTGTACAGCCTGCTTTTTACAGATCAACGGAAACAATTCTTTTAAAAAGTAGTCACTGCCCTCAAAGAAGTGACCTGCTGGAGTAATGATATTTCTAAGACCGAAACCGCCTAAACCTGATTGTTATATCACTAATTACCAAAATATGCAAATTAACCATAACTATTTCACTCTCAATGAAGACATTCTCTTGTTTATGGGAATCAGCATAACAAAAAGAAAACAGACAGTCAAAATATTCCTGCAGGTAATTTTCTTATTAAATGACAGTATCTAATTCTACTTTCCAGAGATAGTAGTCAACATGTTGCGATAGCTAATTTAATGCTAGTTATTGGAAGAAAATAACTCCTAAAAGGCCATAGAGCATTGGAAGCTTATTTCCATACACTAAGCATTTTTGCGTACATAAATCTACTTCCTAGGTACTTTATCACTAAAATTTTTATACAGATTAGAAACTTATAACATTGACATTTTTTAAACACATCTACTTATAATGAAACAAACTTATAAACATGACAGACATCATCAATAAAGGTTGAAATGAGAATGTAAAGCCCCGTCTGGTAATGTTTGCACCAAAAAAATAGATTAAAACATTTTTGCACAACAAAAAAGAGAGGTTGAATTTTGCATCTTCAGGATCCAAAAACATGTCCGGTAGTGTAATCGGAAAACAGTTGTCCGAGAGAAAAAGAACAATGAAAACACATCTGGTACCAAAATCGTTATTTACTGTAATTTATAGAAATAAAAGAAAAGAAAAAATTTACAAATTTACAAATTACATCTGGCAAAAGCATAACCACAATTATGGAGATAAGTCAACCAAACCATAAGCTCAAAACAAAACAAGGGGACGACTCCTAACTCAGGCTAAATAACCAGGATCTCTAGAGTCTTCCATGTTCTATAGATCTGAACTCATCTCTATTAAGGAAGATAGGAATGCCATAACACAGTCGATAGACCTCGTCTTCCTGGAATCCAAAGGTGCTGCAAAATCTGCAGCTGTAGTGGCTCTTCTTTTTCCTATCATTGCACTCTCCATTTTTCTTGCAAAATATGCACAAAAGTTTCACTATATACGTTGTGAAATTGAGGATAGAGTTTATGGTTTGGTTTGTCATCAACAATGAACCAGACTTTGTTACATAATACAATTGTGGTCACAATAGCTCCATCAGAGAAAGTGAGAGAGGAGAGTTGCTTGTGGGGCTATGCTAGAGATAGAAAACGTGTAAGATGAGAGGAAACAGTTGTGGGTAGCAGGGTAGAGAGTAGTGGGATTGAGAGAAAGTTTGAGAGTTGAGAGATAGCATTAAAAAAATAGGTTGTATTTTTATAAGTCATGTCACGTAAACTAGCTCATATCGTTATCAAAATTAACATACAGATTGGGAGTAGAATTTCAAAAACTAATGTTTGTGTTTTTCAAGTGGACCAATTAAATGCATATGTTTTTCATTTTACAAGATGAAAAATCATTTTACGAAATATCTACAAACAGCTCCTAAAGAATGAGCATGTCACATTAGTTCAGGGGAAATTGCACTAACTCAAGTTAGTCCTACAAGCCCACTATCCTAACAGGGTCCCATATACATCTAATTCTGGGCTTAGACCATATTTGAGTTACACAATGAAACTAATCAAATAGTCAGATAAAATTTGACATAAAAAAAAGTAGACAGATGAATTGAAAAATTACAACCAAACAGCATAGCTAACTGTTTTTCTGTGCAAAGAAAATGGGAGACAGGATCACTTTATAATGCACGAAAAGCTGCAAATAATGGCACAACAGAACCCTCCCCAAAACTGCAAATAATAGCACCTCATCTACCACTTTCCAAAGAGAACCCTCCCAAAAATTTGTATTAAGCAAGTAAGCTTGAACCACACACTAGAATGAAAAATGAATTATTAGCATACGCAAGGACACAAGTGACAAGCATGCTAGATTCAGTTACTACAATATCTTGAATGAACGAGTAGAATTAACACACGACTGACAATTAAAGGAGTGGTTTGACCAATTTCATAAGATAAGCAAACTTGTTAAAATTAATCAAACCTGATGAATGAGTAGAATTAACACTAGACTGACAGCTAAGGGAGTGGTTTGACCAATTTCATAAGATAAGCAAAATTGTTAAAATTAATCAAACCTGATGAATAGGGGGGTACATGGCATTTAAGCACACAGGGCACTCCAGAAGTTCACGAACACTGCTAGAAACGGTCACATTAGGTTTTAACGGGATGAGAGTAGCATCATTCACACCTTCTTCAACATCCATCATGTCTTCACTTTGAGGAGGATCAATAACCTCAGATTTGGTCCGCACATCATCAAAATATGGACTACCAGATGCCATGCTAGCACGGACAGCTGCTTACACTGTGCCAAACATATAAAGCAAAATTCAATTCCAAGTATTTCTTGCAACAATGAGTTATGATAAATAGTGATACAAAACAAGAACTATAGGAAACACCGTGCAAAGGGAGCGAAAAGGAAGGGCGTATCCTTACAGATTCGACACTCCAGTGGTACTCATAGGCAAATATACAAGAATCATTAAATTTCAACTTTGCACATATACTTAATGGCTAACCTAAACTACATTTTTGTTCCCTACAATATGGCCCAAATTTTAACCCAGTTGTTTCTTTTAATTGGCTGGGTTCAATTGGGAGTAGTTTGAAAGCCTAATCCCATGAAAAAGAGAAGCTGACTGAATGAATGCCACTTGAATAATGTACATTTGACTATAGAGCCGTATGGCATGTATTATGATGAGTGTTGACATCCTTAGAAGCAATTAAGTTTGCTAAATAAGCAAAAACTACGTCAACTAACATACGTTGAAATGAAAAGTCGTGACTCTGGCGCAAGTAAGACCCTTACTTCAATGGTAAACTGGTGTGTAAAGGAGGGGAAAACTTAATTATAACAGTTAACAAAATAAAGACCAGATACAAATTTGGGCCAACTTCCAAGGACTAGGAGTTTATTTTACACTATATTTAATCCATGCAACAAGCTCTAAAGGATACCAACCTAGAGAAGGGGCAGCTCTCTTACCAAATCTATTGCATAACAAAAACCAGAAATAGCTCAAATACCAAGTATATTATTAATTTATTACCATAAAAATTTGTTTTCTACTTCAACTTCTGGCCTTCTTTCCAAACTCCAAAGAAAATCAATCGATCATCAAACAGTGCTTCATAAAATCCAATCTATAATTAAAAAAACATTATGAAATCCCTTCTCTTGTAAATAAATAAGAAAAAACGATTTTCGGTATTTGCATTTCACACAAAGAGGGGACAAAGCTGAATTGGCCATTTATTAAAAACAAGAATGAGAAACGATCCATTAAAATTATGCATTACCCTTAGGATTTAATTTTAAATAAATTATCAACCTCCCAGTGCTCAGATATCAAAGAACCCTAAAACCTCTGAATATATTCAAGAATTCAACTACGTTAGTGATCAAGCAGATCTAAACTCAAATTTTCAAAACTCAAGAAAATCTGGAAACATATAGTTTTCAATAAAATGAACAATTTGATACAAAGTGACAAAAGCTAGTGAAATTCAAAGATAAGAATCGCACAATCATGAAGCTAATTCAACAAAGTGAACAATTTGATACAAAGTGACAAATGCTAGTGAAATTCAAAGATAAGAATCGCACAATCATGAAGCTAATTCAACAAAGTGAACAATTTGATACAAAGTGACAAAAGCTAGTGAAATTCAAAGATAAGAATCGCACAATCATGAAGCTAATTCAACAAAGTAACTGATCAAGCAGATCAAAACAAAAACAGTGGCAGATGGGGCTGTCCAAATGCTAGAACGGCCCTAAGATCGCACACCCACAGAGAAATTCAAAGTCAAATCTACAAGAGATCTAGAATATTCCAAAGTATATTTCACAGAAAATAGCAACTTCTCGATCTTAAATTACATAAATTCCAAATGGGTGGCCAAAAAATACAAAAAACCCACAAAGAAAA